CCAAGGCAAACTGGAGAAATTAACACGGAAGGGGACGAGACAGAAATAGCTGAAGACTTCATATATTTAGGATCGAAATTCCACAAAGATGGAGAGGAAAATCATGAAACAACAAGAAGAATAAAACTAGCGAATAGTGCATATTTCTCGTTACTATCAGTTTTTAGATCAAAGGATATACACCGAGGGATTAAAACAAAAATATATAAAACAATAATAAGACCGGTGCTTTATTATGGATGTGAGGGTTGGAAGCTAAACAAGAAAGAGGAATCAGTCATCAATTCTTTCGAGAGGAGAATCCTAAGACGAATTTATGGACCAATAAAAGAGGATGGGATATGGAGAATAAGATACAATAAAAGAGTTATCCAAATTAAATAAGGAGCCAGAGATCTCAGTGACAATAAAGCTAAAAGATTGCAATGGGCTGGGCATGTACAGAGAATGGATAAGGAGCGTATCCCAAAGAAGATATTATACAGTACAATTAGCGGCAGGAGACGCGCTGGGAAACCAAGAACTCGATGGATTGATGCGGCGGAAGAAGATGCGAAGAAGTGAAAGGGTGTAAGGAACTGGGTGAGAGCAGCGCAGGGGCAGAGAGGAATGGAGGGGCTTGGTAACGGGGGCCCAAGACCCGACATCGGGCTCTTGCGCTGGTATGGTGTATTTAAGTTCGTCGTTGCCGCTTACATGTCTAGCCTCACCCGTTTCGCCATTGACAGCCATCTTACGATTCGACATTACATGCTTTTGAAATCGTGTTTAAATATACTTTGAAAGTGACGGTGCTTTTGCATTATGTTCTGAGACTGAAGGGTGCTACCTCGCAGAAGATAGTACCTTCATAACCACCGCTGTGAGAACCTCAAATCATGTGCTTTTGCATTATATCCATTTCGATTTGTTATCATTTTGATAAATGGAAATAGACGCATTTTGCTTTAATAATCACTTAGCTCAATTATATAATTAAGTGCGTACGAGGCGTTGCGTGTAACTGAGCCAGCCAACTTCCACTCAACCTGTAATACTGTAGCTTCCTTTTCGAGCTGGAAGGGGTTATATATCCCGTTGCTATTGGATACATCCCCCCTGCCGATTGATGGCGGCGTAGATCCTGCCAACCGAAATGTTCATTTATTCACGAGGGGATGAGATGAACACGGTGTATGCGGGGATAGAGGGATTCCTGGATTTAATACGCAAATAGTAAAAAGGCGAGGAGCAACAGCCGAGTCTTAGCCGTACACAAATTCAAAACTTTCATACCGAAATACACTGTAAAAATTCATTTGGGAAGTCCCCTCTCCCTTCATCTTAAGTCATTCTAAATGTGAAATAAATCATGTGAGCCCACGCATAATTTTTTTTTCCCAGTGCCGACTAACGATTTTGCTGAGCGGCCTCCGTAGTCTAGGGGTAACGTTCCCACCTCATGACTCAAGGTACGCGGGTTCAAAACCCCGGCGGAGGTCGTGGAATTTTAAGGGCGGAAAAATTCAGGGAACAAGTCCTCCGGGAGGGACTTTAAGCCGTGGGTCCCGTGTCATAGATTTACGGCACGTAAAAGAACCTCATGTCTCTAGGAGACCTCTGAGCAAAATTAGGTCAAGTTTCCCGCCCAACTAGTTTCCAATTCCTCCGGTAGATGGGGGAAGTATCAGGTACCACTGCCAGAGGAGGGGGGACCTCTCTGACAGAAAGGGACTAAAGTATTAGATACCACTGCCAAGTGGAATACGGAATACGGAACGATTTTGCTGTATATGTCTCTTAGCAAAGAACATAAATTAAATGTAATTTTAAATTCATCGGCAGACGTAATTTAAAATTATAAGCATAATTGTGACACATATAAGATTACAACTTGTATGTACGAAGGATATCCGGAAAATAAAGATACGAAGTGGAGAAAATATTTGTAAAGCATCTTTTTTATTCACTTGCAGCACTTTAGAACACACCTTTATTTATTTTTCAACATAGTCACCGTGGATCGCAATGCACTTAGTGATCCTGGGGACCAGTTTTTTTATTTCAGCATCATATAAATCTCCCGTCTGCTCTCTTAGCCATGGAGAACAGTTCTTGACACTTCTGGACATTGTGGATGAAGTTCATCGATGGTTAAACGTCTGTCAGCATGTTTGTTTTCATCAATTTTTGGATGATTTCATCAGTGACAACGGATGGCCTTCCACCCCTTATTTCCTCATGAACATCACTTCTTCCCGCTTCAAATTCACGACTCCATTTTGTTTTGCCTGTTCATAACATATTCGCCGTAAACAGAAACAAGTTGGCGATGAATATGATCAGCAGTTTCTCCTTTCACGTGAAGAAATCGAATTACTGCACGACCTCACATTTGGCGAGATTTTGAATCGACACGGCCATTTTAAACATATACTGCGAGCAAAACGTTGCCGTGACTGTGGCCGGTGAACTCTGTCTTGTCATACGGTTCCTACCTCACACGGCAGCACTGCCATTTGTGGAAAAAATTATTTCTCTTGCATGTTTACTGGAGCTACACGTCATGTGATATTTATAACTTCGCAGCTTCGTGTCTGGTAGGTCCCTTTCGAGCTAACCGCAGCCATTGGAAATGATTGAGGTTAGCTCCTTTTAACGGACCAAACAGAGTAAGTGTCTTCCACCCCTTCACCTGAGGACAGAAACAAGTCCAGTTTCCGAAACATTGTTTTTTATAATACCGGATGATGGCCAAAGTCCAAAAACCCAGTAATTCAGAGTGTTATACACTATTGTCAGAACACTTTAGAATCTGTCTCTATACTACAGTCAAAAATCGTAAAAGAAAATCAAGCAAGAATATTTAAAAAAGAACTTAGAGTAATACGTATGATAACATGAATTGAATGAACTAATTCAATATAGGGCTTTGAAGTGATGACTACATAAGAGGCAGGCCCTTGCACCACGACCACATTGCTTTTCAGTGATGGAAATAAGTCTCGTGTCTCCAGAAAGGGAACCTTTTGACCGGCTAAATAACAATTATGTATCTCCTTAATAAAGATCATATACTTTGTAAGTCCCGTGTGAAGGTGAGTTAGAATACCTGCTCCGTAGCCCTGCAAGCCATACATCATCATCATCATCAGTAATCTGTCAGACGACAGGTCCACAGTCTCTTCCAAAACAATTCCTCCACTTGATGTGATCTAGAGCTTTCTCCTTCAAATGACAGTATCCTCTTCTGTCCCCAAGGTCATCCAGCATCTTCTTACATCTTCTTCCTCGTCTTCTGGTCACTTCTATCCGCCCCTCTATCTTTCCTTCAATAACTTCTTTTAGAAGGCAGTTTCTGCGTAAAACATGACCAATTCAATTAGCCTTCCGTTTTCTTATTTCGTGTAGGATATTCCTCTGCTCACTGACTCTAATTAACACTTCTTCATTTCTCACATAATCGGTCCAACTGATCTTCTCCATCCTTCTCCAACACCACATTTCGAAACTTTCCAGGTGTTTCTGATCTACTGCCCTAAGTGTCCATGTTTCAGCCCCATACAGAGCTATGCTCCAAATGTAGCATTTCACTAGTTTCTTCCTCAAATTTAAGTCCAGTTTGCTGGTAAAAAGATTCTTCTTCTTGCTAAATGCAGCTTTTGCCATGGCAATCCTGGATTTAATTTCACAGGTACACCTTCCATCATCTGTTGCAAACCATACAAGGCGTTAGAAATGGAATCTGATGCCTGGGCTTATAACTGGGCTACCCTGTCACTGGGGGACATAAATGCAGAGACATGGTCCTCCAGGTTTGGGATTGGATGCAAGTCTGAGGACCTTGCTTTGTAAACAAATTATTGTTGTTAAATCCAAAGACGTGAAAGCTGGATGCAGTCTGACATAATCTCCTAAGGAAGGCTGTTTGCCAGTGACGATGATACATTGGGAATATTTTAAACTAATTATGTTCTTTGGATTACTGGCAATTTACTGAGCGGAATCAGTGAATGAAATGAATTCTCTGACCAGTAGAGAATTTAATTGTTTTCCTAAGCTGTATGATCTTCTATACAGCAGTGCTTCCTTCGCATACATATCAGCTGCTGCAGTAGGACTGGCCCCTTCTTCCTCCCTCTCCCTCTCTAAGTTGGTTGGTAATTGTGGTTCAGAAGAGAAGTTAATTACTAGTTTTCCCAGAGTGGCAGGAACGACTGAAATTATTTTTTTAATCAGAGCCTCCGAATAGCCGAGAGAGATTGGCTTAATTGATCGATCCCCCGCTCATGTTTAATTCCAACTTGTTTGTTCAGAGTCTGAAGCTAATTTAAATATGTCAGATCCCCACACAAGCAGAATTCAGTTACATTGGTGTGATGATAATTTGAAACAGCGCTAGAATTTCCTGTAGATTTAATAGCTACGTAACGATTTTAAAACCAAGAAGCAGATGATGTGTGCACAGTAAAAGCAATGCTTGCAAAATTTACTGCAGATGAATATGTATGCATTTTGTATTACATGCAACTACTGTCAGGACAAGGTTTTCCCATAAATGAGATGTAAATGTCAAACATTGAAAATTGGTTTTGCCATGTGGGTTTTTTTTTTACACGAGTTTTCATGCTTCTGCTCAGTTATTCCTGACAAATATCTCGTTAGTGGCTTAAGAAGGCCATGATTTCTTCCGCACTTATTTGTTCTGTGAATTTGAGGCAGAATTATTGAATGATCTAGAAATAAATACATTCATGTTTTGTTTGTGGAGTTCTGAAGGAAGAGAATTCCTTGTTCAGAAACCTAATGACCTCTCCCTCTACTGCAGTTATATTTCCGTCTTGCAGAATATTCGACATCTTTATATTTTTCTATTCCAGACCAGAGGACTGGAGTCACCGTTTCCTGCACCGCTTGCACAGAGCCAAGCCTGCCGCTGCTATTGTTGCCACAGCGCTGCTGCCCCACGCATGCCGTTCCTCGGACCGAAGATGTCCTCCAGGCTCTCCTCCATGTTCTACACTGTGGAGGTTGGCGATACTAAATTCACAATACTCAAGCGTTATCAGAACCTCAAGCCCATTGGCTCAGGAGCTCAGGGAATCGTGTGGTGAGTTTATGCACAACCATGGATTACTGTTATCTATCTGCATATAAGATGCCACTGAAATAAATTGTAATCTGTACTGGAGATATCTGGAAATTGAAACATCATTATCATCATATTTATGAATGACTTTATTGGTTTATGGATGTTTTATGTAAGTTTATTTGGCACTAGATGTTGGTGACATCATTTGGTTCGTTTTCTGGTTGATGCTTGAAGAGAGTATTCACTTGACCCATCTTCAGCTTATCCATAATGCGGTGTATAGACCTATTGCTATGCAGTAGGCGAATAAAACAAACTGCCGTTTCTGAGCAACGGCTTCATAAATGCGTTCCAGCGGAAACAAACATGCATGCAACAATAGAAGAAATGTTGGAGGCTGTGTTTTGTGTTGGGTCTGCCCCAAGGTTATATAGCGAGAACCCCAGGCTATGAGTGAGTTCAGTTGCAGGATATTTGCCAGACTGTAACGACATGGGCGCAGGGCGCTGAAGAATCTCCACTGTTAGAAGCCGTTGCTAGGGAACGGCAATTAAGACACAGCAGGCTGGAGATCAGTGATAGTGCTGTAATATATAGTTCAAAGTGGTATATACAAGAGGTCAATGAATCCAATTCATGAATTCAAACCCTATCTATAGTCACATCCCTAACAGTGACACCTTTTGACTTAGAGGGGAAGCCATACAGCTTATGACCCCATAGCAAGGTATAAACTATGGCAGGCTATGGAAAAACAGAAGATCAATTCAGAGATAATTGCAATAATTAAGAACTGTTTGGAAAAAAGATACAGCTGATATGAGACTATGGCATGAGACGTACAGTGTCATTATCACAACAGAATGATTGAGATAGGATTATATGTGTCACTTTCACTATTTAACACACAGGGATCTTGAATCACCAGCACCTGAATGGAAGTAGACCAGTAGAGAAAAGGAATGACCCAGCAGATGAAGCATTTATGTTTAATTCACTTTTTCTGGCAGTCAAGTACTTGTTGTACAGAATGGTTTTTATTTACAAAATATGTATTAAACTAATGACGCAAGATTTATAATAATTATGCCCCAGTAATTAACTCTACCAAGACAAAATATTTAAGTACTGGTTTGAAATCATTGGGAATTTAAGTAACTGCAGGTGTAAAAGTACAGGACATCAAAGTTTTTAAGTATTTAGAATGAAGTCGCGATAAGGAGGGAGTAAGAAAGAAAGAAACAAAGAAATAGATGCTGAAATTAGTGAAGACAAGGATATCATTTTGTTTTCATTGGTTGCATCCTGTTGAGTGTCTCAGACAATATATAATATGTAGTAACTATGCTACCATCAACACAACAAATATTTCAGTATTACATTTAGATATTTCAATAACTACACGTATTCCTGCCTGACGATGGCCATGTATGCCCGAAACATGTCGCAGTAAATAAAGATCTAAGTGTAATACTGAAATATTTGTTGTGTTAATGGTAGCATAGTTCCTACATATTATATAATATAATTTTGTGTTTAAATTTTATATTGCATAGACAGTTGCGTGTTATGTGAGTGAAGTGTGGACTGAACGGAAGGAAATAAGTTACTCTCAGAGGAAGTGGGTTGTTTGTAAATAAGTGCAAAGTTATCAAGAATGGGTTGTGAAGAAGCAGTAATATGTACAAAGAAAAGAAAGGAAATAGTTGAAATGGTATGGACATTTGTAAATGCAAGAAACAGATGGCCAAAAAGAATACATAATTTGATGCCACCATAAAATTGGATGAGAGGATGACCAAGGAAATTGTAGAAATAATTTTAGAAAATGTGTCTGGTGCTGCTGCTGCTGCTGCTGCTACTACTACTACTACTACTACTACTACTACTACTGCTGCTGCTGCTGCTGCTGCTGCTGCTACTACTACTATGTCAGTATTTTTTTAAATATCCAGGTAGATGAGAAAATCTTTTTTTATGTATGTGTGTAATTTTTGACTTAATGCTACTTAAATGTTTAATTCTATTTTATCTTAACATATGTTTCATATTCATGAAATTCAATCAGTTTTGACTGGTGGCCATCTGGCACTCTACAGTTGTGACCTGGATAGTAGCTGCTCGCTTTGTAGTTTTGCAACTCATGAATATTATTCTACACGACTGATTATGTGCCACCATCTGGGGTATACCATAACTTCAGAGACATTCTGATACTTCAATATAAATATTTTATGAACTACTGGTGGTAGGTTATGAAGTTACATAAGGGAGGGCTTCTTATTCCCACCACTGGCACTGTTGAAATTCATAACACTTTTTTTTCTTACAATGACTTCATCTCCTCGCAGAGGATTTTGTTAATGTTTGAAATCTGCAAATTCAAAAATATTTGTGCACATGTTCAGGGCTCGAGGAATACTTCTTGCTAGCCATTTAAAAAAATCCACTCACCAAAATCTTGCAGTTCTCATCATACAGATGTTTCTGTACTTTCCATAAATGAGCAAATGGAGTTTATTGGTGAGTGAACAGTGTTTCTAGATCTCTGCTTTTATATATATATACAGGTTACAACTAAGTTCCAGTGCTTCCTCAAGAACAAAATGGAAGAAAAACTGTTTATACAAATTATATCTGTTCAATGAAATGATAATATAATGGACTATTTTCTGTAAGCTGAGATATTTACAAAGAGACGTGTGTGATTACTGAATATAGAGGTAAAGAACATGGAAAATGTTTTGGGAAGTCCGCAAGGAGTTCAGTACAAAGAAAACACTGGATTTAATGTCATTTGTAACCCCTTGTAATTCTGTAATAATAAGAGCCAAAGGTTTAATACAATTAACATAAAAGAGCCTGTCCAGAACAAGTAAAGTCCCTGTCAGCTTCCCTGCTTGTGAACCATTATAATATTAAACTCCCATCTCCTCCATGATTTTCCAAATAACCCCATTCCAAGAAGATTGTGTACACAATTTATGTGCCCTTGATCCAAGCTACATGTCTAGTCCAATGTAATCATATTGATTTAACTACTGTACAGATATTAAGACACCTGTATATATCATGAAATTCATTTTTCTTCTGTCACACTGAGGATCCCTCAATGAAGGAATGAATTAAGAATCAGAAATGAAATTGTTTCTCATGGAATATATACGTTTATGAATGGTTCACTTTTTGCTGAATTTAAGAAATATTTAGTAGCAACATCCATGAATGAAGTCGACATAGCAGTATGTTATTTATAGTTTGTTTGTTTTAATTTTGTGGACAAGGATTGGGTCACTTGCTCATTCTCCGCCCCCTCCCCAATTTATTTTCCTCCTCTAGCAGAAAGATCATCACCATTTTATAATGCAATTTGGCCAAAAACAGTTCATGTCATATGTTGTTACAGTATCAGAAGCCTTCGTTGAGATATGTGCAATCTGGGGACTCACTTATTTTTGGCTTTGTAACATAAGTATATGCACATGTATTTTTCCTTCTTCTTTCACAGTGATAATGATTATATTTAATTTCTGCCTTTATTGTTCCAATTTTAGCCTGTTTTCTAGCCCAAAATACATGCTTATTTTAGAACTATGTTGCTAAAAGCAAGCTCTTCTTTTTACCAAAAACTAACAGTGAGTTATTTTCTTTCACAGTTTGAAAATGGGGAACAATCAATGTGAACTGTTTTTGCAACTGATTTGCTGCATGAGTCACTGTATAGTGTTTATTTTATTATTAAATAAGTTTTTATTTTTTAAATATTTAAAGTAAAACAGCTTTCTTGATGTATGTCTCATTTGTAGTAGGAACTCTCCCACCCCTCCATATGATGTTCCCACCATTGCATATAACAGAGACTTAATATGTTTTTATTTTTTGAATGCTGTACATTTCGGTTTTAGATTACAACTCCTTCATCTTTTCTTATTGATTGTTTTAACTTGGTTGCATTTTTGTATGTTAAGGATATTTAGTTAGAGAGCATGCACATTTTTTTCTATCCATATGTTTGGGCATGAAGCCCTGGTGGAGGGCCTAGTCTTCCTTCTGGTGTCAAGTGTCTGATTTACTGGGGCCCTGGTGTTGAAGAACACTTCGGTTGCTGTCCTTCAGGACCTTTTAAATTTGTGGATTTTGAATATTTTACTCACTTGAAATTTTTCTTTAGGCATTTGCAGTGAAGTTGCTAAAATATAAGGCATTGTGTCTTTCCGTAAAACTATGTTATTTCTTGGTTTTTGTATGTGATGATAACTGTATCTGTACAAGCAAATCCATTAGCTTTCTTTTTCCAACATACTTTGTTATAGAATGTAGGCCTGCTTCCATAGTGTGTGTGATGGCAAAATTTGTAATTCTTTAAAATTTAGCCTATGTAGATTCTGGTTGTGACACCATGTAGTTTAGTAGGGGGGTACCAATGTTAAGCACACGCCCCCTCCATCTTCAGAAAATAGAGACAGCAGGTTCATGAAAAATAATTGTTTCTGTTTATCAAAGTATACGACATCGCAGCTCAGAAGACCATATCTCTGTATTCACTGCTATAAGAACCTCAGATTTTATACCAAAATTTAAATCATTTTTTCCTTACATTAAAAGTCTTTCATTTGCAAAAGAACTAAAATTTGTGTATAGCTACATAATCAACTTAGATATTGCAGTGCTAATTTACCTTTTAGTTTTTATACACAGTCTAATAGACTTTGTATTTAGCTTTGTGATGAAACCATATGCCACCACTTTAATATTTATGGGAATGCTGATTTGTGTAGCATATACTTATATTTATTTGAATGGCAACTTTGGACTATTAATTTTTGTCAGATGTAAGTGCAAGGATATTTTTAATGAGGTGAAATAGAATATGATGAATCAAAGAGTAGTACATTCAATGATTTCTAATTGGAACAGAAATTGAATCTTGGTACATAACTTTTCATATATTTGCTCTTTATATACTTGCTATTGGGGCACGCGGTAGCCTAATTGGTTGAGGCACTATGCTTCAAACTGAAAGGTCGTGGTTTGATTCTCAGTGATATTGTTGGATTTTTGAATTCACCTCATCCTTCCAGCCTCACTATGGCCCTGGGGTCGACTCAGCCTCTAACAGAAATGAGTACCAGAATCTTCCTGGGATGTAAAGGGCAGCCAGCATGTAAGGCTTACAACCTCACCGCCATCTGTGAGCCAATTGTCTAGAAAATGTGGGAGTCTCAACGTCTCACAACCCTATGGGCCTCCACAGCCTGTTACAGGGATAGCCTTACCTTTTAGCTTTTTTATATTTGATATTTGGTCACTAAAGGCTTTCTACTTGTTTTATAGAAAAAACTGTAAATCTGACTGAAATAAATGTATTACCATATTTCTGCAAATATAATCCATGAATGTAATTTTTGGGAATATGACATTAAGGAAATACAATTTTTACACATCGTTTATACAGTATTTATCAAAAGTTTGAATACAGCGAGAAAACCTGGCCCTGTAAGGAAAACGTTTTAGACATTTCCTTCATTGTCAAGCGTTAGGTTAGAGGATAAGTTTTTGTGAAACTTCCTAATGGAAAGTATTCATTTTTTAAATATAAAACAAAATAAACAAATTTCACCAAATAATGACATTTTTATGATAGCTTCTGACAACATACTTAACAGAATTAAATGTCTTGGCAACACTCCTATGGATGATAAATGATGAGCCTGCAGTTCTTGTTCGTACATCTTTGATCAACTATGAACATATTTGCCTATTCTTGCACTAACTGAAAGAAAATCTCCTGGCATTTGTTGAATTTTAGGATATGAGGAAATTTTAAAGTCTGTAGTTGCATTAGTGTAACTTTATGTCATATCGTGTAAGAAAGGTAAATTATAAAATTTCCAGTTTCGATTTAGGAGTAAATAGCATTAACTGAGTTACCTTATAACCAATTCTGTTGATACAGTTTTTAAATAAAAAATGAAGAAGTGGTTAATCTATTACTGGAAAAGATCGGTTCTTTTCCATATTTTTAATGGAATTTTACTGCACTTAACTGTGAAGTATGAAGTAAGGTAGTATTATTTCATTACAGTGTAGTGATTCTTTCCCACGAGCGTAAGGTACCAGAAGCTTGAAGAAGACCTTTCATGTTCATTTAATACCAAGGTTTAAAATGACTTCTTAATGTTATGGTTAGGCACAAGGGAAACTTAAAATGTATTATTATCATTTAATAATATCAGTTCACATAATCTACTTTTATAATCTCAGAAAGTTAAAAACAAAGCTAGTGATTTGATTTCCAACAGTATGAAAGTGAAGCCCAGCTGGCTTTAGAGTCATAAAACATGAAGGTGCTGGCTTTCTTTACCCAGTAACTGTGGGGTCAAATCTCGCGTCATAGTTATTTCATCATTGGTGTTCTGTTTAATTTTGAGGTTTTACCCAAATAATTGACAACAAAATGTTGAACAATGTATATGAACAAAGAAAAAAGTCTGAATTTAAATATCATAAATACTGGAATGTATGTAATGTCTGAAAACTTCAGTTTAGATATTTCAGCAGCTTTAGGCAGCAGAAATACAAATTGTGACAAAAAAGAGACTAAACTTAAGTCCATGTATACGTAATAATTGGACGTGAGAAATTTATATGAAGGAAGACTGGTATCCCTCTACAACTGAGCGACATCATTTATGGATGGTCACTGGATTGAATGAATTGTGCTAGTAGTGATACTTTTCGGTGCAGCAGCCGATAAGAAGTGATGAACGTGATGACAGTAGCTATCTCATAGCCCATCCCATCCCCCAACAGTGAGTCTTGAACCACAACCATCATGTTCTACACAGTGGAGTTTGGAGACACCGAGTTTTCTGTACCAAGTCGCTATTTGGACCTGGCACCTAAAGGGGTGGGTGCTCAGGGCATGGTCTGGTGAGTAAAGAAAGAGGACTTCAGTACCAAAAACACTTGGACAAGTATAGAAACTAAACTCAAATGAGCATTTTATGAGGAATCAATGTTGTTATCTCATTGAATTATTTCCTCTGATCTTATTGGAACTTGAAGAAAACAGTCTTCTGGGATGTGGCACCATGTAGATGTGGTGTTAACAGACATTTCAGAGGAACGTATCGCCTCCATCTTCAGGTTAGAAGGAAAAATAAGAAATCCACAAGCCAAGAGACCGTGAGAACTGGTACAAGCAGAGAGGAATGCATCGTCTGCACCTTCAGGGTCTGCTTGTACTGGTTCTCATGGTCTCTTTGCTTGCAGATTTCTTAATTTTCCTTCTACCCTGAAGATGGAGGCGATACGTTCCTCTCTGCTTGTACCAGTTCTCACGGTCTCTTCCCTTGCGGATTTCTTATTTTTCCTTCTACCCTGAAGATGGAGGCAATACGTTTCTCTCTGCTTGTACTGGTTCTCATGGTCTCTTCACTTGCAGATTTTTTATTTTTCCTTATACCCTGAAGATGGAGGCGATACGTTCCTCTGAAATGTCTGTTAACACCACATCTACATGGTGCCACATCCCAGAAGACTGTTTTCTTCAAGTTCCAATAAGATCAGAGGAAATAATTCAATGAGATAACAACATTGATTCCTCATAAAATGCTCATTTGAGTTTAGTTTCTATACTTGTCCNTTTTATAGCTTACATTCTCAGAATGATGTACTGTAGTGTAACTTCTTTCTTTTTATATTTAACCTCTTATTTGAAACCAAAAATGTCATGTATCTTAGTTTCTGTACGTCTTGTACTACTGACAGTGAAGTTACATTTTATTGAGCTCTGCAGAGCTCCTTCTTCAGAACCCTATTAACAAGCAACATAAGTCCTTCTGCTTGTTCCCTGATTCACTTATGGTCGTCATTACTGTAGACTGCCCCACATTGGTGTGTTTTGACATCTTGTGGTCAACAGCACCAGTATGGTGTCCATACTAATTTGTCAGGTGGGAAGATCACTGTCACCTTTCAAAGTGGAATCATGAAGGTTTGTTTGGTGATAAACTTATAAAATATTTTCAGCTTTTCTTAGTACTTCATAATGCCTGTTACAGTATATGAAAACAGTAAGGTGACAATATGGTGAATGCTCAGAATGTTTTGGTTAAATAAAGTTAGGCAGCAGTCTGGTGTGTGATAATTACAGGGGATGGACAAAATAATGGAAACACTACAGATACTGTACACATTTCTTTATTAGTGTGGTGTCGGACCACCTTTTGCCTTTAATACAGCCACATTGCTTCTTGGAATGGACTCCTACAAGTTGTGAACAGTCTCTAGCAAAAATTTATACCATTCTTCTTGAAGAGTGTAGGACTATGAGCCATTATATTTTGAACTTAGTGTGATTGTTGTCATCATCAGCAGCAGTACCAGCAGCAGCAGCAAAACAGCCCTTTCTGAGTCATGGCCTTCCTTAGAAAATTCTGCCAGATTACATCTAGTTTTCACTTCTNCCACATTGCTTCTTGGAATGGACTCCTACAAGTTGTGAACAGTCTCTAGCAAAAATTTATACCATTCTTCTTGAAGAATGTAGGACTGTGAGCCATTATATTTTGAACTTAGTGTGATTGTTGTCATCATCATCAGCAGCACCAGCAGCAGCAAAACAGCCCTTTTTGAGTCATAGCCTTCCTTAGAAAATTCTGCCAGATTACATCTAGTTTTCACTTCTTTGGATTTTGCAACCATAATTTTTTTACAGAGAAAGGTCATCAGCCTTGCTTCTAACCCCAACCCTGAAGGACCAGGTGAAATGTCCCTCAGTGACAGGTTGGCCCAGTTATACCCCCAGGCACTGTGTTCCCTGTTCAATGCCTTCTATGACTTGCAAGGCTATGGTGGAGGTATTCTGACCCACCTCCACATTGGGAAAACTTAGTATCATTTTTGGTAGTTAAACAAGTTAACAACTATCTTTCACCAAAATAATCTACATACCTAGGCTTCAGTCTAAATAGTAAACTATTTCAGAAGTACAGAAGTTTATCACTGAAACAAAAGCAACGCTTATTAATTTTTTTTTACAGTACAAATATTTTCTGGTACATATTTCTCTCTCCTGCAGTCTTTTAATTTTTCTCTCAATGTACAGGAGTGTACAAATATATTTTTGGAGCCCTGATGTAATGTAGTTTTGTTCTTATTTGTTGTAGTGCTGCTTATGACACGGTTACCCAGCAGAACGTTGCTATCAAGAAACTGAGCCGTCCATTCCAGAATGTTACACATGCTAAGCGTGCATATCGAGAGTTCAAGCTCATGAAGCTTGTTAATCACAAGAATGTAAGTCTGAGTGTTAATTTTGCTTACATGAGTATGAATGAAAAGTTTATTTTTATTGTTAATATCCAGTAGAATCATCAGAACAGTCTTAATTTGCAGGGACCATCAGTACATAATTCTATTGTGTTCTTGCTAAGCGTTCTTTTGGTATATCAGGCCTAATATATAAATATAGACTAAGATTTGGAAACTCAGCTTTCTTTGCCATACATTACTTGAGGCATAATAAGATTGCATGAAAATATGTTATTTTTCATAAAATGTTTGTTTTTATTAATGCTTTCCTCAAAGTAGACCTAAGTGATTAAGTTTAAGTTTGTGTTAAATATGCAATAATTAAAGTTTCTTTGTGAATCAATATATATATATATATATA